AAAAAAATAGTTAAGACTCACCTGTAACCACAGCAGGCCCTGTTGGACAGCAAGCCCTGATGGACGCCCCATCACTTAAGCAAACGGACCTTGGAAAGTGCCGGGTTCCACGGGAGCTTAAGATGCCTGGCATTTTGCAGAAAGCGCTTAGTACTACCCAGGCTGCGATCCTCATTCAGGTTTATCTGCTATGCAAAGCAAAGCTTAGTGGGGCAAGCTAACCATGCTGTGAAGTAAACTACACCTGCTATACCACATCTGAAYCTGGACCCATTTCTACCCATTCTGAACTCATCTATCTTGCATTGAGTACTTGCTACCTCAGGTGTGACATAGTCACAGTTTGTGAAGCCTCTTTAAAAAGTTAAAGGATAAATCTTTTCCAAATCTCTCATTTGTCCAAACAAAGAATATAGCTCTAGCCAGGGCTATTTGCAAATATTTTGCCAAGAACGTACTGAAGAGAAGAGCCTGGTTACACCAAACATAAAGAGGGAGAAGCGCACAAAATAAAGGGATGTTCTTTCCACGGTTCCTCAGAAATTCCTGTATTGGAAAGACAAGGTAATCACTGTGATCATCTATGCACCCAATTACTGCAAAACTGAATATCTAAAGCAGGGAAGGAGAGTAGGGAATGCAAAGACAAGGCATCCAGCACTCTAAGAGAAGCCCATGCCCTTCTGGGCGGATATCCCAGTGTCCGGCCTGCCGCTGGATGGAGCGCAAGCATGTTCTGTATTCCAGGCGCTGGAGCCCCCATGGCTGCCTCCGTTCCGCTCCGCCTCAGCCCGCGCCACTCTGCGGACCTGGCTGCAGCCACRCGCTTACCTGGAGTCCCCTCGGATGCACCGGCAAAAGGCGGTCATGTCTCCGGGCCGAGGAGCAGCTGCTCTCCTGGGTCATCCTAGGCAGGAGCGGTGAGGATGGAGGCCGATCCCGTCGGCAGGGCACCGGGAGGTGGTGGGAAAGCGCTGCATCCTCCCCTGCCGCTCTCCCTCCTCTGATCTCCGGCGGTAGGCGTCGTGGCTGGGATCTTCCCTGACCCCGGCACAGGCTGTCCAGGAAGCAGGGCCAGCACCAGCGCAACCCCAGCCCTCTGAAATGCCCCCAGGCGCCCGAGCTCACATACTTCAGCGGGAGCCTCTATCCTGTAAACACATTCCAGGTTCTGGGCCCGCTCCTCCTCCCGGCCCGCTGCGGCATGAGATGCATCTCGGAGGTGGTTTYGGAGCAGTGCTCCCCTCTGCCCTGCTCCTTGGTGCACCGTGACAGACCCAAGTCGCTCCGCACTGTGTTTTCCTCAAGAGATTCGGGGCRGTCCTCGAGGAACGCGGGGCGTCGCTGAAGGACACCTTTGTGCTTCAGGGTGAATTGTTGCTGTCCGTGTCCTTACAGAACCTAGAGCGGCGAGCTTATGCTGGAGCAGTCAGTACGTACATAACGTGGGGATYGTAACCCCACAACAACTTGAGAAGCTTGTCCAGACAAAGGAGGAAAGGACTTGCCGTTATTCCTGCATGCCAGATGAGTGCGAAGCACGGGCAGATGCCAAGCTCTCCGTAAGGGCACCAGGAAGTGCACCCAGGCACCGGCCCCACAGCAAGCAAGACCCGGAGCTCACGGAGCTCGGCTCAGGATGGCCCCAGCTCAGCGGGAAGGGAGAAGTGGGGGGCAGCCCCCCGGACTCCACTCTGAGGCTCCCATGGGCTCCGTCTGGGGACGCGCCATGGCCAACAGCTCCAATGTGCCCCCTGGCAGGAAGCTCCGGCAACACTGGCTCGCAGCTGCTTCGCTTCGCTCCTGCTTCACTTCACTCCTGCTCCCTGGGCTGAACAAGCCCCGCAGGCTACGCACAAACCCACAGACCACATCGATATGAGGCAGAAAGGGAATGATCCCACTGGGAAAACTATGCCAGGTGCCACTGCATTCCTTCCTTTGAGCTCTTCACAAGTGTTTGACTCCAAAAGTCAAAGACCCGTGAGAAGCAAGTTATTAAATGGTGCTTACAACAAGATTAGTAGGGTTAATTGGACACACGCAGGCACTTAACTAACTTCTGTTGGGAAGTGCTTGCCATAAAACCTCCCTGCTTCCAACGCGGCAGACAGCACGTCGGTGAGCTGCAGCAACCCAGCACGGCATGGAGGGCCCTCCCCTGCCACCGCCTTGCAAGCCCTGGGCTGCCTCGGCCCACAGGAGCACACGGCTTGCTCAGCGACACGGGTTTTCTGGAAGCCAGTGCCAAACTCCAGGGTCTCAGAGGCCCAGGAGCAGCCTCCCTGTGCAGAGGGAAGGGGCCACCCTTGCTAGGAGGGAGGCAGAGCAGCAGGCCTAACAACAGCTCTGGGAGCAAAGCAACCCACTGAAGGTCAGAGGCTGCACCTTACTGCGCCACACATCCTGCTGGGCCGCTCCATCCCGCTGCCCTGGCCGCTCCATCCCACTGCCCTGGCYGCTCCGCGCTCAGCAACTGCCCACGCCGACTGGCCGCGTTTGGCTCATGCTCCTGGGGCGRCAGCGGAGAAATCAGCAGGTACAAACCCAGTCACAGCAACAAACGAAAGCCCGTTCCCAAGCTGGCCGGTGTCGCAGCCTGTTTGGGGATCCCAGCACTTCCTGGCTTTTCTTGATCACTTTTACAGGTCCAGAACCACGGCCGAGGAGGCAAGGTCAGCCGGGAGGGCCAGCGCTGGCTTCCTCTTCCCTGTCCCGCGCCGCACATGCCTTAGCCAGGAGCTGTTTCACCCACAAGTACACTTCAGCCCTGGGTTTCCGCAAGGCCCCTCACAGCCAGGCGCCCCCCGGCCGCCCCCTTCTCCCATCCTGAACCCACCCTTGCTGGGAGCAGAGGCCCAGACCCGCACGTTGAATCCCAGGTGGCCCTTACGGCTACACGATGCCGGAGCCACTTGGCGTTTCAGGCTCTCTGACTTTGGGTTGGCCTTGTCAAGGCTGGCAGCAGCGGGAAGGGCATCCACCTTCCGCCTCTAGTCTGGACTGTACTTTGGAGTCCAAGGATAGTTCTGAAGGGGACTGTTGGGAAACACTGTGCCTTACAAGGCCCACGCGTCAAAAATCTCTATCAGCTCACATCTTCCACACACCCAAACACGAGATTTCCAACGCTGGCTGCTGACACCAGGCTGCAGTGCCCATCCAGGTTCCTTTGAAACCCTGARGGCCAGGACACGCTCCCATGGCTGCAGCGTCTCCCATCTGCACGTCCACAGGACGCCTCCGATTGAGGTGAAACTGAGTGCTCCTTGAGGAGCACTCGATTCCTCACACTTAGGGGCTGCTTCCCAACCAGCATTTTTTCAGATGTTTTAAACGGCATTTGCTAGTGAGGTCAGTGTGCAGGGAATGAGGGGTGCAGCAGAGCCCCCAGCTGCGACGGGCACAAGGGCGAAGGAGACCCTGGGCTTTGGGAGCCGAGAAGAGCTGGGAACGCCGCACAACCCGATTGCCGGGTCTCTCGCTCCGGGGTTTTGCTTTTCCCACACTCAGGCAGATCACAGAGGCTCAGGAGGTTCCTCCTGAAAGCTGCTCTCCTTGAGACAGGACCAACTAAGTGAAACGTGAAGCACCTCCTCCGATATTCCTCCTCCTCACCTAAGTGCTCAGCAGGGTGAAGTTATGTGCTTAGGAAACCCTCTCGCAATAAAGAATATCCTGGCAGCACAAAGATCTTGCCTYGAAAAAAGTTCTTTTCTCTCTTCTTAAATGGGCATGTGTGCCATGGGTCCTCAGGGTGCCTGCTTGAGCTTTCCCTTAGGTATTACACAGACAAAGAGCTTGGGATCCCGAGTTACACAGCGCCGCTCTGAAAAGCGGCCACTGTATCAGGGACGCAACCTGAGACTCCACAAATTGTTTTTCTGAATACTGGGAGTGGAAACTATCAATTCCAACTGCACTTTCTCAGTCGCCCTGAAGAAACTGGGTCCTGAATTTGAGTCAGCACTCAAATTAAGCAGYTTCGTATTAGGAATAATTTAAAAACAAGGCTTTAAAAATTTCTGTTCTTTTACATCTCYATTCAGAACTCTCTTCTACAAACAAGCCCCACCCCCGACAAAAAAACTCCAAACCCCAAACCCTCTCGCAGTGCACGTGCCCTAGGGATTCACAGGCGGCCCTTGGCTGGAGTGAGCCGGAGCGGCGCCAAGCTGCACTGCTGAGGAGCAGAAATGGCCCCTGCTCCCGGGTCTGCCAAACGGCTACTCAGCCAGCTCACATGCACCTGGAGATGCTCATGTTCCTGAAAATGTGGGAACTCTTCTCCATGGGAAACGATCCTTTAGAAACTGCCAAGCCACCTYTGCATGAGTGTATGAACATGCAAATGACTGCGCCCTGGTACGCGCACCGTGATCTCCGGTGTYGGTGAACGAAGCAAGCAGGCTATCCCCCCATCTCTTTCTGCTCCCTTTTCCTTCTTTTTCTCTAGTGCTTTAATTGTTGCATCTGTCCCAAGCTTCCCCCTTGCTGTCTGTCACAGCAAAACCAAAAGCAGCCCCGGGCTGCAGAGCGCAGGCAACGACCGCCGGCCTCTGCAGAGGGCCTTGGCGAGCGGAGCTTGCTGCTTTCCCCCTGCCAGCTGCTGCAGCGCGCGCCCGGCACCCAGGAGCTCTCTGGTGGATTTTGGTGGATTTTGCACTAGCCAGTTCTACAATGAATTAACTAGAGAAGTTCAAAGGCTGTTTCCAGCACTTCTGAAGCAGGAGCAACAAGGAACGAGGGAAGACGGTTTATCTTTCCGCTTAACTTTCCCACTTGCCATCCGATGAAACTTTAATGAGTACAAAGACAGGTCAGCACTTGCACAGCCCGGCGTTGTGCATCCGTGTAAGTGAGACCCATTACACCTGCAGGAAATTGACCCTTAAAGCAAGTCAGACACGAACCTCCTTCAGCTGCTTCCCTGCAYACTGCTCCTGTTACATTCCATATAACACAGAAAGGTTACTGGCCTTTCCACAGGCACCTCTCACCTTGCCAAACGTGGAAGCAGGAACAAAACACAGGAGAGGTACTTCCAAGTTTGCATGGACGTGTCCGTAAAGCCTCAGTCGGGTTTAACTCACCCTACATCTCATCAGCCTCCGGGCTCCGTGCCCCAAAGCGCRAGCTGCCAGCGCTGCCCTGATCCCGCCGTGGAGCAATGCCGGCCGCGGAGCGATCCCGGCTGTGGAGCAATGCCGGCCACGGAGCGACGCTGCGGGCGAATACCCGAGGTGGCAGGCGGGGGGACAGCCGCTCGCCCCGGGTTGCTAGGGAACAAGCAGGGCGTCCCTGACCTGAATTCTGAGCCGCGGCCCATGCTGCTCGGAAAGCTCAGGCTCTCCTTGGAAAGACAGGGATGCAGCGAGAGGCTCCGCACTGAGACGTTCCTAAAAGCCACCCAGGAGCTAAGGTTAAACTGCTTTTACAGCAAAAGGCACCTGGCATGAAAATCCACAAGCAAAAAAAAAAAAAAAAAAAGGTGGATTTCCTACTCGGCTTCCAGAAAAGCTACAA